AATTACTCTCTTTGGAAAACAACAAAAAGATTCAAAAGACCAGTAAAATCTATACCAGCCATACGWAATCTTAATGGCTCATGGGCGAAAAGCACAGAAGAACAAGCGGAAACCTTTGCAACTAACCTAGAAAACACATTCACAGCACACAACTTCAATCCACAATCATATCCAGATACTAACGCAAACGACCTCGGAAGCAAAACAAAATCTGATGAAAACATTAATACCACAACAGCCAAAGAAATTGAAATGCTAATATCAGAAATCAAAATAAGAAAAGCTCCAGGTTACGATCTAATAAATGGCAGAATAGTAAAAGAACTACCACCTAAAGCAATTAGGATGCTCACAATATTATTTAACGCTGTATTACGAGTCCAGTACTTCCCAAGTACCTGGAAACTCGCGRAAATTATAATGCTTCCTAAACCAAATAAAGATCCGCATGAAGCAAATTCTTACAGACCGATATCGCTCTTACCATTACTATCCAAACTGCTGGAAAAAATAATATACAAGAGAATGAAAWGAATAATTTCTGACAAAAACCTGATTCCTGAACATCAATTTGGTTTCAGAAATAAACACTCTACCGTTGAACAAGTACACAGATTAACTAATACGATAGTAACAGCTTTAGAAAATAAGGTGTACTGTTCCGCCGTCTTCATAGATGTAGAAAAAGCTTTTGATGAGGTATGGCATCAAGGAATACTGCAAACAATCAATAAACAATTTCCACACTCGTACTACAAACTTCTAAAATCTTACCTTTCTGAAAGAACATTTTACGTAAAAATAAAAGACACTCATTCAAACATTAAATTAATCAAAGCTGGGGTTCCGCAGGGAAGTGTCCTTGGACCAATTCTTTACACTCTCTATACGGCAGACATACCAATCAACGCTAACTGTACAGTTTTAACATTTGCAGACGACACTGCAATGCTTACCGTAAACAAAGATCCACAACGAACAATTCAACTGTTACAAAAACAAATCAACTCTCTCGAAGAATGGTTAAGCAATAAGAATATCAAGGTAAACACTACCAAGTGTAAACACATTACGTTTACACTGAGAAAAGGCAAAATACCGAATCTCCAACTATACAATAATGTAGTTCCACAAGTATCAACGGTCAAATATTTAGGACTACATTTAGATTCCAAACTAACATGGAAAAAACATATAAATGACAAAATCGTACAAATCCGTTTAAAAAAGAGACAAATGGCCTGGCTAACTGGCAAAAAATCGAAACTTAGCATACAGAACAAATTRCTAATTTATAAAACAATAATAAAACCAATCTGGACATATGGAATACCGTTATGGGGCATAGCAGCAAAAAGTCACATTGTCAAGCTCGAGGCACAACAGTCTATAACTCTACGCACAATCGTAAACGCTCCATGGTACGTCCGTAATGACGAGATAAGGAAGGACTTAAAAATCCCTACGATAGAAGAAGAAATAACCAAGACAACCTGCAGATACAAAAAGAGAATTGATACACACATAAACCAACTAGCAAAAGATAACTACAACTAATATATTCCTAGAAGGCTTAAAAGAATCCACCCAGGAGACCTTGTAAAAACCTAAACAAAATGAAATAAAAATAATAGCGACGATATCTCATTGGAGAGACCGTCCACGTGCTACCTTTTTTCCTTATATAACAATTTACCAAATGTCTTCGGACAAATTGTAAAGACGTATGGAGTTAAAAAAAAAAAA